TTAAAAGGGTTTACTATATTGTATTAACTTTCGTGGTTTTATCAAATATATTTTTACTTGTTTTGTATAACTAAGCTATGTTAAAAAGCAACGTAGAAAAAGTTTTCCTGGAAAACGTCTAATTTATATTTAAATGTTTTGAGTATTAACATAAGTTTAAATAATTCAAATACTTTTGATTTAATATTTAGCGTTTTTATATGCCTGCACTTTTTCGTTCTGTATTTTCCTTATTTTTAAAGCAGCTGTGTGTCTTTATAGTAATAATTTATACTAAGAGTCTTGAAATCTTAAATTCCCAAGAATATTTAAGTTTTATATCATGGCCTCAAGGTATTAATTGGCACTATAAAACCCATTACCATTACCCACCGACACATCTGATCATCATCCGCTGAACCGACAGCATCTTTATTAATATCATTATGATGATATACCAGGCAATGAAGGAGCGAATGTATTCCCCCCATTAACATGAGAAACGAGAATTGTGTTCGGCACATAATTAGGTGAGTGTGTTCAAAAATGAATATGCAAGCGGGGCAAAAGAGCAGTATCTCGTTCTCCAGTTGCAGCCAAGTGGAGAGGCCACAACCACCAGATTTTGAATAAATTTGAGGAAAAAACCGAGAGATAGATGGCAAGGAAAATGGGAATTGAGGCACACATTTTTCGTGTGTAGGTAACGTGGCTTTTGATCTTTGCTGCGTTTGTTTGTATACAATTTGATGGCTCGTGTTGATGGATCGTAAACGTGGAATGATGTTCGCACTGTTGCTGCTCCTCTCGATGATGACGATGATGACGATGATCAACGCAACGATGACGGCACAGTGTGTCTTTGATCATTTGCCGCGCCAGTTGGCAGTCAAAATGTTAATTTATATGTTCAGCTCCCGCCTACAATCGAAAAAGGCAGAAAAAAAAGACAGAAAAAGGCCTGCCAGCCACCGTATAGCCAGGCACTAACAACTTTACAAACATGTTTGAGATTTTTATTACTGTGTGAAAATGTTCGATTCTTCCGTAAAATCCGGCTAGAAAGGATCAAACAAATTTATGGGTGGGCGCAGCCAGATCTGGCAGGCCAGATCACTCGGTGCGGGAAAACTTTTCATTGTGATTGATGGATGCTGATGCTGGATACTGGATGCCTACCACAAAAACACAGCAGCGGTAGCAGCCGAAAGCCAAAAGCCAACAGCCAACATTCCCATAGGGATTTTGATTATAGACAAGTTGTCGGTGGATTTTTATTATTGTGGAAATCGATCAAACCACTTGACGGCTGATCAAAGACAGCACACACAGCGAACATTTCTACAATATCTCTCGTATTTTAATGCGCGTATTTTTTATACGTTTTAATTATTGTGAATTTCGTTTTCTTCTCATTTAGAAATAAAAATATTTTTGGCCTTTGTATGCTGAGTTATGCAGATTCACTTTTGATGAAAGATGATGAGGTTCAATTGCAGTTTGGGGATGAGAAATAAAAATTAATGAGTTGATTAAAATTTATAGATAGCAAAGAAGAAAAAAATTGAACACGTAAAACAAAGAAATAATATTTATTGTTTTGTAAAGTTTAAAAATATAATGCTTTATTATTTTAAAAAGCCTAAGATTATATTTTGTATACATTTTAAATATGAAAATAATTATTAAGTTTGACTTAGTGTCCTTTTTATGATGTTCATCTGCAGTTTGAACAAAATCAATTTAAACAAGGAAGAACGCTATAGTCGAGTACCTCGACTATCAGATACCCGTTACTCAAAGGGAAATGGAGATATGCAAGCAGCAAAGCGAAATTAAAATGCGCCACCTACCGGCGGTAGACAGATTTAAGCGTTATGGGCGTTAGAGTGGGCGTGGCAAAATTATTTTTGGATCAATCGATAGGTATTGACGACACCAATACATTTCAGTTAAAATTTTTTATCTAGCATGCACATTGTGGGCGTCACAGGTTTTCGCGGTTTGTGGGCGTTTAAGTGGGCGTGGCAAACTTTTTTTTAGGTCAATCGATAGGTATTGATGAGAACAATACATTTCAGTTAAAATTTTCTATCTAGCATCAAAACTGTAGGAGTTACAGTTTTGGGCGGTTTGTGGGCGTTAGAGTGGGCGTGGCAGTCTACTGAAACAAACTTGCGCTGCGTAAGAAGCTCAGGAATCTGTACGCCAAATCTCAATAGCCTAGCTCTCATAGTTTCCGAGATCTCAGCGTTCATCCGGACAGACAGACGGACAGACGGACAGACGGACAGACGGTCAGACGGACAGACGGACAGACGGACAGACGGACATGGCTAGATCGACTCGGCTAGTGATCCTGATCAAGAATATATATACTTTATGGGGTCGGAAACGCTTCCTTCTGCCTGTTACATACTTTCCGACGAATCTAGTATACCCTTTTACTCTACGAGTAACGGGTATAAAAAGGAGTATAGAAAAAAGTCCAGATACAAACAACCTCTAAGTAGTACGTTATTGTATACTACTTATACCTTTTAAAAGATAATGTTTTATTAGTTTGTACAAGCTTAAAATAATATTTATATTTTACCCAAAAATAATTAAGAAGTATGATTGATATGCTCTCTTGTGGAGTTCTAATTATATTTTGGTTTTAATAAAGGCTTTAATAAATCATCGAATAAAAGAAGTATTTTCCTCAGCCAATCATAGTACATATCGCATTTAATATTCGATTTTCCCTTGTGCATTGTGAAGAGGATAACGCAAATGCATTGAACATATTTCCCCCATAACTTGATTACTCGTTACTTGTTAGCAACAATGTGTAATAGAGCAAAACTTCCGCAGACCAACCGAGATAAATCCGCATCAGGACGAGGACAATAACGAGCTGAGCCAGGGGTAAGCTCGAACTGGTACGATTGTCTGGCGGTTGTCTTGGCCACATACGTATATGTATTCCCCGGCAGAAAGAAACATTTGTCTCGCTTAATTTAAACAGATTTGCGAGATTATTGTCATGCCGACGTTGAGGCAGCAGTTTCAATTCGACCGTAGACAACCCGCAGTGCCAGCTGACAGATGAAGATGGCGGTTTCGAGGGGTCGGCGAATTAAGCGCATCGAGAATCGGAGAATCGGAGAATCCCTCGCTGAGAAGGGGAGAAAGTCGCTGGGCAAACCAGAGCAAACCAACCGCAATAATGCAAGCGAGTGCAAGGCAAATCTCCTGACAGCCGCGAGCCGGCAACTTTTAATGTTTTCTTTGCCAAAAGGCCACGGGATTTCCGAGTGGGATGTTTGGATTGCAGAACAAATTTGCAGAGAACGTTATGCAAGTGACAGGCGACAGATCGGGGGATCGTATCTTCAGAATGATGCTGCTGCTGCTATGGATTGTGCATGATGATGATGATGATTCCCTGGCTGCTCCACAAGCCATATTTAAAAGGCTTTGAAGTTGCACCGCAGCAGCGAGAGGTGTCTGGGGCGCGATTTCAACTCATGTCGGGCTTGACACGATCGGAGCATGCTCTGATCCCAGATGAAGCCTCCCAGATCAAGCCCGCCAATCTGACGGCCTGACTGATGCAGATCCAGATCCAGATGGAGATAGAGATGGAGATGCAGATGCAGATGCAGATGCTGCCTGCCCACTTTTAATTGTTAATGAACGGTAACAGGAGGGGTAACTCAAGCTACACTTAAAAAATAGTCGCCTAATAAAGCTATGGAAACGATTAAAATGTATACTTAGAAAAAATATGTACTTGATATTAGTCCTTTGATCCTTTTTTAAAGAACAATGAACTAGAACTTGCTAGGCCATGTAAAGCCATGGCAAAAATGGGCTTAAATCCTTAAATTCTATTTTGGTGGAGTATGAAGAGAATATCTATTTTATCGTTAGTTTAAAAAAGGAATTGAAGGCAAAAGTACTAACGAAATAAATAGTTATTGGCCAACACACTGAGTACTAGAATACTAAGTGGTTCAAGCAAAAAGTATTTGCGTTTCTGATGGCAATTTTCATTATACGTTTATGAAAACTATCTGTTATGTTGGTAAATATACTTTACTTGAGCAACATTTTCTTAAGCATTAGATCATTGTAAAATGTATAGAAAAAATCCCAAATGATTCCTAATTTTTAAAACTCAGGGCGAATACTTTATTAAGTGTATTTAATTGTCGTAGCAAAATAAATATACAAAAAAGTAAAATGACCAACTAAAATTAATTCGGAATGGGGTGTTTTTACTAATATATTTATCTATACTAAACAAGGCTTTTTCTAGTCTATATCTACTTTTTTTTTTGAGTGCACTCACTCACTTGACAGCCCGACCGGCTAACTGCCTTGGACAGCTACTCGTTTCCGGAAGTTTATCTCCGCTGCAGCGGAGCAGCGGCAGCTGCTTGAAAGTCATTAGACTCCGTCAGCCTTGTCACTCAGTTAGCATTTTGCTACGGCTTCAAGCCGAGACTCTGAGGCTTTGGGACCAAGACTGAGGCTCCCTAACAGAGGCAGACATTTGATCTGGGCTGTCAGCCGAAGTCATGTCAAACTGTGTTTGGACAGCATATTGGTAGTGTCCGCTATAGGGGATAAATGCGAAATGAGACAGGCTTTAACCCTTTGGGAGAAGATCATTCGACGGATCATGACTTAATGATAAAATAAACTAATTGGAGAAAGGAAATGGTTTCCTAATTGAAATATCATTAAGTTACAGAAAAAGGAAATGCCTTCCTAATTGAAAAATCATTAAGTTACAGAAAATGTTGGGTAAGGGGCGTCACAAGACTACCTCTATACCTAAAATATAAAATGAACTCTAAATAAATATATTTACATAAAATAGGTTTGAAACTAGCAAATATCTTAAAATATTTTACATACCAAAATTAGAAAATACCATATAGCATATTAGAACATTCCAACATAGTCAACTTACCGACGGATATTTGAATCGCTTTTTAAATCAATCCAAGGCACATCATCTACAAATTTCAAAGGCTTCTTATGTTGTCATAATATACCTTGTGAACCACACTGTTGTCAAAAAGAATTTAAGAAAATTAAACAGGATTACAAATTGGGACAACAAAATGATTCGAATTTATCCATCCTTGATCACCAAATGCGGATTTCAGCTAAGACGATGTTCCATATCCAAAATTGCATCAAATTTAAATTCAGATGATGTGGAAGAGATGCCACCTAATCGCCAAAGAGTTGTCCTACCGAAATCCGAGGAAAAACTGAGCCAACGCTATCTGGAGTTCCGGGAAAAGCTGCGATCGGAGGCGCCGCTGGATCCTCAGCTGCCCGAGTGTGCACCACATCCGGCCCACGAAAAGGAGCCCCTGAAACCCTGGCCCAACAGCACCAATCCCCATACTGGGGAAATCGGAGGTCAGGCGGGACCAGAACCCACGCGCTATGGCGATTGGGAGCGCAAGGGACGGGTCACGGATTTCTGAGGGAATCCAATCTTCACCTCGACACCTTTTTGTTTGGACAATTCTGATTTATAACCGTGTTAACAACAGAAGCACTCACAATTTGTTACACTCCAGATGGGCGAGGAAAACTGTGCGCTACAGTAGCCACGAAATCCAGATCAAGATGAGGAAAATCAAGATTTTCCAGCGTTGCTTCTGCGAAGGCATTACATAAATTTCATTGTGTGATTTCTTTGTGGTTTCTTTCAAGAGGATTTGAGGATAGGACTGCCATCAAAAATAAATTGATAGCCCTTTCTTTCGCCTGTCGAAAAAAGGGGTTCTCAGAATAGAGAGTTGCGACCGAATCTTCTACTCCCATTATTTATGGTTCAGGGGCAGAGAATCGTGCCTAAGTTGAAATTATTTCGAGTGCTTCTGGGGGCTTCGGTCGAAACGTTTCGATTCATTCGAAATTAAGGCGACAGTTTACGTGATTTTTATTAGAAAAACTTATGTTCGCCTTGGGTATCTGCTTCTAAATTTGTAGCCCGAGAGCGTTTGACGAAGACACATAAAGGGGTTTTTAAATGCCATAAATTTCTTTGTTAAGGCCCTCGAAAACGTTTTTGTGGTTTAAGAAATTTGTTGGAAATCTTCGAAAAAAGATTTGCAGCTGTTTTGGTTGTTGACATTTTTGTGGGCTTTACACTGGATTTGTTAATGAACACAAATAGAAATTACTGAAATGCTTTCCGAAGCTTGTAAATCTCTTTTAGCTAATTGACAATGTTTAGGAATAGAAAGAATTTTCTCAGAAACTTTCCATTTTGAAATTATTTTTGAGTGTTTCCAAGGGTTAACAATTTCTGCAAACGCAATTCGTCAATCGCATCACACATTCTTATACCCCATCAACTATTTACACCTTTTATCAAATGCCGACGTCGGCAAAACGCCAAATCAAAGATCAATCACAATCCAACAAATTAACCGCGTGAACTGCTCGAAAGAAAGATAAATTCCGCATAAATTCCAGGAAATCCACAGAACGCTTTAATGTATATACACGAAATTACACAGCAGCTGACTCGGCTAATCCACAAAAATTCGAAATACCAAATCGACAACTTGCCCAACGCTCAGCAGGCGCGAGAAGCGACGACTTCCTCCATAGTCATCCATCAAATGCGATTTTCCGACCTCGATGGCAAAGGACGGTGAGGAACGGCAATTATTTCGTCTATTTTATTTTTAAACGAAATTAACGTGTTGCTTGTTGTTGCTAATGTGTTTTTATTACGTGAAAATCAAGGAAAACACACGCATACCGATGTTCTCAAGATCATTTTATAACCCGAACCGAACGGAACCCATCCGTATAACGTATACCCTTCTCCATTTCGCCTCTCGGTCGCAAAGTAGTAGGCGCTGATTGATAGAACAAAGTGAAAATCAAATAAAAAACAAAACATAAAATCCCCCAACTGAACCACATTGCGGCCCAAGATCAAAGACCGCCCCTCGATCTGTAATGACAGCTTTGATCATTGTTTTGCCTTTGATTTTTTCCGGTTACGTTTCTCTCTCACTTGGGCTGTACTGTTGCTTTCCTTTTTTTTTTGGCTGCGAGATGGTCCACCGGTCCAATGCATATGATCATCAGTCTTGTCGGCCTGAGATCTCTCGATCATATCGAAAGTACTTGGAACTGCGGGAACGGGTGGGCAAACGAGGCTGTTTACGATCAATTTCGCACCCACTTGAGAGATTTCGCCTTTGTCGAATTCATTTACAGCTGGCGAAAACGGCAGATTGAAGGCTCTTGTCGGAATTGGGGAGTCCACACGTCTTTAGCAAGTATTCCTAATAAACCCAGTCCAAGTCTTATAAGATATATATTTTTCAAAATCCGTAAAATGTATTCGTCAGAATGGCTTAATTGTTTTGGTACAGTCAAAATGAAGATAATCTTATGTATATTTCGTGCATTTAATCATATATCTTCTTTAAAGATATTAATGTTTTCTATATTGGAAACGTTTTGTTTTTAGCGGAATACAATATGTTACTGATTAAGTGGTTGTACTTTAAATATGTTATAAACGTCTTTTAAACACAGAAAACACACATTTTTAGCTCCATTTATTATAAAAGTTACTGAAATTAATCAAAAGTGAGTCAGAATTGATAATTTTAGCCTTAAAATTAATTTAAAACACCTGATCTTATGCGAACTTGGAAATAAACGGGTTGCTTAAATATATTCAATATAATTAACTGGGCGACTTGCTGAATTATCTTCGCAAACACCTTATAACTGGTTTAAAAATAAAGTTTCCTTATTTTCTACTTAAACAAAGTAAAGTACTTATTTATAAATATTTTTCTTAAAATTAGATCATGTCATTGGCAAGACATTTTTAACACGCACATTAAGAGGAACTGAACAGACAGTGAGAAAATTGAAGAAAAACTACGAGTGCCAAATAAAAGCAGCAGGAGAAGTTGGAAAATGGGTAAAATATATGACCAGCTATTATGTTATTGTGTGAACGTGCACTGATTTTACCAGTCGGGCTTTTGTTCACGGCAATATTTTGTTGGGCGCCCAGAAACACGGCATTTTCTCCAACCCTCCCAAAGGTCCTGCCGCCCAGGTCCTTCTGACTGCGGAGTGGGCGTCTTATCGGAGCGTATAACATATATCATTGACACTTTGACATTGCCAGTTTGGCGGGGGCGGAGGGCGGAGGGCGGAGGTTGGTGGGTAGAAGAAGGTCCAGGGCCATGACCAACAGGATTTTAGTACTTTTCAAAATGGCACTTAATCATGGCAGCCGCCTGGCGCAGGAAAATGCGGAAACTGGCAACAACAACAAGGACACACACCAAGACGTAATCGCATGTGTTCACGCTTGAAAGGATAACGACGACATGGCTGGGAATCGGGTATTGGACTCAGGACTCAGAACTCAGGACTCCCGCTGACTTCCCGTACACCCCATCCATGGCATATCGACCAGAGCGAAACAAGATTAATGACTTGGCAAAAGGAACTCTCGGTGCGAATGGGTGTGTGTGTGTGTGCCCTGCTGGCTGCTCCTTTCTGGCATTCGATAAATTGTTTGCTACTTGGACTGTCATTAGTCGAAAAGTTTGTTTGTTATTGTGTTAAGTGTTATTTGTGTGCTCACGTCCAAGTGTCAGGCTCTTTGGCATTCCTCTTCCTATTTCCGCAGAACCCGCTCTCACTTTTCCTCTCCATCGTTTATCACTTTCATTCTCGCCCCGCCAAAAAAGGATAATATTCGCCTGTCATAGATGACTCACACCTTCCAGCTTGCTAAGCCAGTGATGACCGCATAAAAATGTGGCAAGAAATTAGGGAAGCTGAGGGAAAATAAAGAACGATGTAACTTTCTTAATGATCTCTGGGTGACTTTTAAAATTGTGGCTAGATTTATTGTTCTTGGAGGAGAAATATGGAGGACAGCTGTAGTCCTTGTTGGGGCTAGATTTTAACATTAATATTTTCTGTTAGTTAAGTCCATCAAAATTACACAAATGTATTCAAGGTAAATTAAATTTAACTTGATTCTATATTTGTTGACATTATATCAATATTTATTTATTTTCTACAGCCGATAACAAACTTAAAATTGAACAACCTAAATTTAAGCACAGATCTGAAGTATACATTTTGTTATTGTACACTTTTAACCATTTTCGAAGAAAAAATAAATAATTTTCACTTTTGCATAGAGTTTTTGTGTGCATTACCCTTACCCTACAACTTTTATATGTCAAAAAATATTGGTTTACGACAAGAGCTGTTTTATTTAAATCCTCTAGAATTTTACCATCGAACTTTTACAGATATATGCTCAATAGATGTCAGCAACTTTCTGCTTTTAAACTTTTGAAAAATATTAATTTTAGAAAAGTGGCATCCAAAAAACCAATTGTTCATCACAATACTCTACACTCCACTACATAAAATAAATTCGAAATTTATTTTTCTCTTGACTTTTTTTTACCAAACCCTTACCAACGCCCATAAACTGCCATAAATTCATTAGCGAAAAATGTTGAGCAGTGAAAGCGGAAAAGGGCGCTGAATTTAGGGAGCAAACATAAACAGGAAGCAAAACGCGATGCCCGCAATATACAACAATTTACAACCTAAATCAAATGCAGTTGAATGACCAACACAGACGCCATAAATCACTTGGCCAGTGGGTTCCAGTTGAGACGCCAGACGATGGCTCGAGTTTCCAGCCAATATTTTAGAGAGCCAAACCACCCAAAATGGCTGGGAAACCCAGGGGGCAAGGACTCGAAATCCGAAACCAAACGGAATGAGGGCGGGGAAAAGGAAAAAGATTTCGTGAAAAGGGCAAATGCAATATGTTATCAAATAAAAATGTTACAAGCGACGACAGAGGATGGCGAACGACAAGCCCCGAAAGGAAAGAAATGTGTTGCACAAATTTATTAGAAACCTTAACTAACGAGCAATATCCTTAGTGGATTGGGGTGGGATGCTGCTGCTGTTTCTGCTGCTGCCACCGGTGGATGGAATGAAATCCAAGTGATGTGTCAAATGTTAAGACATTACAAAGCACTAAAAGGCACAAGGACATGCCCCAGCGGTGGATCGGGTAGGACCGTCGAGCAACAGGAAAACAAATCGAACGTGTGCCCAATGCCATCAATCTTTTGTTTTTATTGCCAGCCCAAGGTCCCTGTCAAGCGATTCTCGTGAATCCAGCCAGGATTCGGATTCCGGGTGCCGGGGTGGAGGGGGTGCAGGACATGTGTGCGATGGTCGGGCAGTCGGGACTTGTGTGTGCCCGACATTAACTCGACAGGATAACAAATCTGTTAAATGTGACAAACGAGCCGAGTGTGCGCGCTGGTCTGCCATCTCCAAAGAAATGGCAGAAGGCAAAAGGCCAACCCCGGAGTCAAGTTATGTGGGCGTCAGGAGCAACCTTCACCTTCTGCGAGTCCCGAACCATCATGTCCTGCGGTGTTTCCATTGACCCCATCCCGCTGCGCAGCCCCTAATCCCATCACAGATCTCTACTCTGGTGATTTTGGTAGGTAGGAGGAGGTGACCCGGCTAGAACTGTCA